ACAAAGAAGCTGGCAGGCTCCAGAAAAGCCATCTCAGCCTAGTTTCTTATGGCTTCATGGTCACTAGTTGAAAAGTAGATATAGCAAATAATGCTTCTTTCGAGAATACAACTTCAGCCTCTGGTTATATCTAGCCTCTGCTCTGCGTTGTTTTGATAAATAAATTATAATACATAATATCTGTTGCCAACCCCTGTTTCTACAATAAAAGTATAAAGGTAAGGACCAACACCTATGCTTTCACCTGGCCTCGGTTGAACCCAGGGAATTACAGACCAGTCATCTTAACTTCAGTATCTGGAAAGATAATGGAACAAGTAATCAGTTTGCAAACACCTACAGGATAATAAGGTGATAAGTAACTGCATCGAGAACAAATTATGTCAAACCAACCTAATAGCTTTCTTTGACAAGGTAACAAGCCTTGTGGATAGGGGGAAGTGGTAGATGTATATCTTGATTTTAGTAAGACTTTTGATACTGTCTCACATGACCTTTTCATAAACAAACTAGGGAAATACAGCCTAGATGGAGCTACTATAAGGTGGGTGCTTAACTGCTTGGAAAACGATTCCCAGAGAGTAGTTATGAGTGGCTCACAGTCTAGCTGGAAGGACATATTGAGTGGGGTGGTCAGCTTCTGTTCAATATTTCATCAATGATTTAGATAATGGCTTCAAGAGTACACTTATAAAGTTTGTGGACAATACCAAACTGGGAGGGGTTGCAAGGGCTTTGGAGGACAGGATTAGAATTCAAAATGATCTGGACAAACTAGAGAAATAGTCTGAAGTAAAGAGGATGAAATTCAATGAGGACAAATGCAAAATACTCCAATCAGTTGCACACATACAAAATGGGAAATGACTGCCTTGGAAAGGGATCTGGGGGTTACAGTGGATCACAAGCTAAGTATGAGTCAGATATGAGTAACACTTGCGCAAAAAAACAAAAGCTGTGTTAATTCAGAGCTAAGGTTGAGATTTTATTGACAATCTTGGAAACGGAGTTCAGCTCGGCAGCCTTAACTCTCCTGTTGTGTATGTATGCACTATGCTGGGTGGTCTCATTCCCTGGTCACCATTCACCACCTGTTTCTCTCAGCAGTGCATTTTAGACAGAACAGTTCAAACTCCAACTTCATCAAGCATTGTTTTGCTGGCCACACAGCATGTGAATTCTGCTCAAGAGCATATACTCTAATGGTTAAATTATGATAATTAGCCAGAGTTGGAGTCAATATGATTTAACTAATTGTATGACAGTAGCACCACCTTGTGGCCCCAACTGAGTGTAGGACCCATGGCACTATACACACGCACAATCACAGACAGCCCGTACCTCAGACCTTAAAAATCTTCAATAGACAAGACAAAAGGTCAGATTTGCAAGATGTCAGACAGCAGGTCAGTGTCAAAGCCAGGAACAGAACCCATATCTCCTGACTCCCAGTCCTGTGCCCTAACCACTGGCGTATACTGCCTCACAGTGGCATAGTATGGAGCCAGCACAGCCCCAGGGGAGCTCAGAGAGATGGTCTCTCATGTGGTACTTTCCCTTCTTAGCGCATCCTCGCCCTACCCCCCGGGTTCAGGTAGGAGCATGTATGCTGAAGCATCCCTTTGGATAGTGCAAGGTGCTCCCTGGCTAGTTGAGGAAGGTTGGACCACCCCACGCTCTCTGGAGCAACGTGTGGCCCTGCAGAGAGCTGTCCTTGTGTTCCTACAAGTGCAGAGACTGCGATTGTCCCTGGGTCTTGTGCAATATGCACAACAGATGTGGCAAGGCTCCTTTTTCTCTAGTCCTATTGGGGGAAGGGATAAATATGGCCCTAATGCTACATAAATGCAGCATGATTCTACATGTAAACTGTGTCTCAGTTTCACTCAGCAGAACACTCATGACAATTTGGGTCATGGTGTCAACCTCACTTGCCTCAGGCGAGTGAGAAGGATGAGTTGCCGTTTTCCTTGCCAGGAAACGGCAATAATATACTGAGGGAATCAGGCAATATAGGCATCGGAAAACTAAATGAAATGTACTAAATCAGCTTTCCTGATGTGCAAGCAGCAGCTCCTAGCCTCTGTGAAATCAGGGTGAATGAATGCATGCATCAATAGTATAGGTGACAATGCAACCACCAATCAAGGTTCCCCAAGCCTCATAGCATATGTCAGTGATACTAAAGCCAAAGCTGTCAAACTGTATGTGGTCTTCATCTTCCTAAAGCCAGCTGTCTTCTCAGGTTTGACTAAGGCACTGGATGACATCTGGAGACACAGACACGCAGAGTCAGCTGGCTTAACCTCTGGGTTAGTAGCCAACTAAGGTAAACAATATTATTGCCTTGCTATTTTAGCCAAATTCAGTAGGAGTGGGGAGAACAACCTAGGTTGGGCTCCTTTTGGATCAAGTCTTGTCTAAAATTATGAAGGCAGAAAACGTTACTTACTATATACAGCTAGATCCCAGAAATAACCTATTGTAAAAGGATGCTTTGTCTATCCCCAACTCAAGTCAGCACTGTTTGGCAATCTTCTTTTCAAGGTTCCTTCCACGTGGACTCTAGAACCCAGAAGAGATCAATTTTATTAGCAATAGTAAGATTACAGTAGAGCATAGAGGCACTGTGCAAAGAGATAGTAAGAGACAGTCCTCTGTCCTGAAGAGCTTACAGTCTTAACCAGGGATAGGCAACCTGCGGCACGCGAGCTGATTTTCAGTGGCACTCACTGCCCAGGTCCTGGCCACCGGTCCGGGGGGCTCTGCATTTTAAATTTAATTTTAAATGAAGCTTCTTAAACATTTTAAAAACCTTATTTACTTTACATACAACAATAGTTTATTAGATATTATAGACTTACAGAAAGAGACCTTCTAAAAACGTTAAAATGTATTACTGGCACGCGAAACCTTAAATTAGAGTGAATAAATGAAGACTTGGCACAGCACTTCTGTAAGGCTGCCAACCCCTGGTCTAAACAGACAAGACAGATGAAGGGTGGGAGGAGAAACAGGCACAGATGAGTGAAATGACTTGCCTGAGGTTGTGCAGCAAATCAGAAATAGAATCTTGGTCTTCTGAGTCCCAGGCCCATGGATCCTGCTGAGTCTTTTCTGCAAATGGAACTTGTAGTTGAGCAGCAGAACTGCTTCAGCTGCAACATATCCTCTTCCTTGAAGGACAACCTTAAGGCGGCAACTGGTGGCTGAAGTACCCTTAGTTAGAGAATCTGTATTTTTTTTTTGTTTTTTAAATAAAAACGGGTTAGTGCTGTTATGGGAGGTTTTAAAAATTTCATTAAACATCTTCAGTAGCTGGGGTATTTTTGAAAGCACAGCTTGAACACTCATCGCACTGAAGGCAAGAAAGACATTCAAAAGGAAGTATGCTAATGAGGCAACACCTTTTTATTTCTGTACATTTACATACAAAGTTTTTCAGTAGGTACAACAGATGTAACATCATGCAGACAATTAGCTTGTAAGACTGTTTTCAGTACTTGATTTAAGCTTGTGCTATGAATAAGCACCACCAGACTACTCATGATCAAAACATACAGTAACACGATTCTTTAATAAAACTTCATCAGAAACTGAGGGGAGGGAGGGAAGTCTCACCCACTAGACATAAACACACTGTACTCCTTTCCCAAGACATTTCACACAATACAATTAAAATGAGGATTAATTTTTTTTTAAGTTAAAGTGTGGGAGATCAACCCGCACTTAAGTGTTGTCTTTATGTGCTAACTACAGGTGCAATTTGACTTGACATTCACAGAGTTCATTTAATGGCACTTCTGCTTCCAATTTGGTGATCTTTAGCATTTGGCTCCAGGAAGTGGCATCATTTAAGAAAAATACTTCCATGTTAAAATAAAACCAAACCAAACCAAAACAAAAAAACCCTGCTTAACCAAAACAACATTTTTCAAAAGTGGCAAAGAGATTACATGGTTTTCCTCGTCTTACCTATTTTCAGTGTGTTTGGCAACAGAAACATTGCTGAAAAAAACACCCCATAAAATGATCAAGTGTAATGCCATTTTCACATTCTGTTTAAAAATTCTAAAAACAAAAAACAAAACACGTCCCTTAAATGGTAACTAAAAACCCCACTAGTGGGCTGGAATAACTGAGGGCTCATGGAAAGAAATGGGCCTAAATGCAAAGCTTTGAATGCTTTCCTTGTTGCATTGGCTGGGAACAGTAGTCATCTGAGAAAAATGTTTCCTTTGCGCTGTGGAGAACCAGGATTGAGAAGCTTATGGCTTGACAGACAGTTGTTAAAAAACTGCCACAGTACCCAACTGTACAAAGAACCGGACAGAACACAGTAGGAAACTGATGTTTGTTTATAGCCTCCTGCCCTGCTGTATCATTTAGTACCTGTCTGTCTCTCTCCAGAAACTTTCCAGCCTCAGATAGTCATCAGCTTTTGTGGAGTGTAATATCTTTTTAAAAAACAAGCTTTCATCCTCTCAAACGAGCTATAACAGAGCTATCGAGACAGACTATTACTTAATGTTTTGGCCATGACTGAGCCAAGCAAACCATAGGTGTTGGGACCTCATTTCAAAGGACTAGTACCAAATGCCTCATCTCAGGCAAATTAAAAAACAAAACAAAATACAGAAGTAAATTTCACAAAAATTGCCAAGTGCTCCTGTCACCTAATGTATTTATTTCTTATATAAATAGGCAGATATGTTTAAACAGTTCTTTTTCCTGGGACTGTTTGTAATGAAAGAGCAAACACCAGAATAGGAAACTATAAAGTGCTGTGGACAACAGCGATGACACACCAGGACCATAACAGTGCTAAATGCAATCCGTCTAATAGGCTTGTGAAAGGTCTACATGATTTGTACTGTAGCCTGAATATATTTGCACAGAGACCATGAACTAAAAAGCGGTTCTATGGTATATGGATTGCAAGGTGCTGCGTAACAGCTCTGAGTCTGTGTGCATGCCCTATTTCAAACAATCCTCTGCTCTCTCTATTGCTCTCCTGTGTCAAGGCCCCCCTCCCTGGATTATTATTTGTTTTACTTTCTAGATTTTGATATAAACCCACTTTTCCTGATATGTGGCTTGTAACAAGCTTCATATAAAAGGCAAAAGGTATTACACAAATTTGGCACATGAATACTGCACAAACCGAAAGGCCTTATTTTCGAGGTGAATGCAGACTGCAAAAATCTGAACGCAGAACAAAACGAAGGAGAGGTGGCCACTTTCAAACCGTACAGTAACTAGAGATGTTTAGAGAGTGTAAGAAAAATTGGTCTGTTGCTGTCACAGCAAGTCTAACTAAGGTGAAAACAATAGCATAACTCCAGGCAAAATTACCATCAACTGGTCCAGTGTTTCTTACGTGGCTCAAAAAGAACCTAAATGTCCACATCCTCTGTACAAAAGTTAGCAGCTTTAGGACAACATTGATTTTCCAACCACAACAATCTTTGTCACTTCTCCAGGCCTGCTCGTCCTCTTGCACTCATCAGCATCTGCGGCTGTGTAGCTTACTACACTACTCACAGTCTTGCTGATTTTGTGTGGGTTACAAGAGGACAAAGGCAGCCTAATGGAGGATGTAAGTAGTAGGTACAGTAGTTAACAGACAATATATAGAGCAAAAGAAGGGGTAGGGAAGAAGAGGAAAGTGCAGATTAGCCTTTCCATGCCTATGAATGCAAGATGTCCATCAAACAAAGTGGCAATCATATGGATGCTCAATACAACATTACATATCCTGCTGCTCTGTTCATTTAAATGGCTGTACCACTGGGCAAATCAGTGAATAAGGTAAGGAAGGTAGTGGTGGGGCGATTGTTAATGATGCAAAAAAGCTTTTAAGCTCAGAATGTTCTTGTATTAACTAGATCCGTAAGACATTCACACAACAAGAATCAAAATCTGATGGCCAATGCAAATCTCTTGCTGGCTTGGGGACTGGAAGGAGGAGGTCACCTGGCTATTATCAAGTAGCCATCTTTACAATAAATGAAAGATTTGCTTCTTACTTTACTAAGCAGAGGCATTTTAAATTACTTTAATCAAACAAATGATCCTATAGTATTTTTTTTTTTTTTTTTAAAGGGAGAGTCTAGAAGAGCACATTTTTGGTGGGATTAAGGTGGCAGTTCATTGTAAATTCTTGGGTCAGAAATAGCAAACAGGAGACAGCAAAATATATAGTAATCAGAATTCTGGCTTGGACAGGAGGTTTTAAAAACGTATAATTAAAGATGACCCATTTCATAGGGAGTGCCCTCTTGACCTCTATTTAAGTAACATTTTAAACAGCCCTTTCGTTTCCCCCCCCCCATCTTCAGTATTTATTCAAATAATCAATTCATTCCCTTTTATTCTAATAAAATAAATTTAAATAAGAACAGGCTTTAAACAGTTAGGGCATGCAATGTCACAGCTCTTGTACTAGTGGAAATTTCAGCTAAACTCCCTTTTGGAGCAAGCAATTCAGATTGTAGCCAATACTCCTACATTTTGTCTCCTTTAACCAAAAATATTCTCTGGAACACTAGGATACAGATATTGAACCTCCTGTTAGTTAAAACCATTCTTGGTAAACCTAATTTTACCACTGGTGGTCAATTCATTTCAGTTGTTTATATTATTATTAATCACTTGCAGGAAATCTCTAAAAGAGCTGAATGTGATATTTAAAATGTAGAAGGCTGATCCTGATTGAAAAACTAAGCTAGTTTGTGTAGTATTTTGCTGACTGTTTTAACTACAGTAAAAAAAACAACTCTAATTTAGAAAATAACTTTTAAATACATATGGGGACACTATCAAAACCTAATTTACGCTAAATAAAATGCAGCCAGAGTTTGACTCACAACAGGTTTTTTGTTGTTTGTACAAACAGAGCAGGCAACCTGGGGGATTTGACTTTCTAGACAGGCAGAACTAATGTTGCTCTAGCCTAAGTTTCAGTGGATTCAGCTTTGCAGCAGAGATACCTCTTTCCGTTAACAAAACACAAAAACAAAAATGAAAACAAAACACATCACACCATTTCTTTTTTGGAATGGCTGCACCTCCTGAAATAAGATGGCTTCATTCATGTGATCAATGAAAAGGGAGTAAAGTGCTTCTTTAAAATGATAATCAAAATAAATATAAACATTTAATTCCAGGAAAAGAAAGTTTGGAAGGGTTATCTCCGGCCAGTTCTTTTCTCAGATGCGTTATTTCCCCCCATAACCTTTTCAAAAGTAATTTGTACACCAGTTGAAGATTCCTACAATAAGTGGCTTTAGCAGCAGAGCTGAATTCCCCCATGTATCCATCTGTTCCATTACTGGTCTGCAAACCCGTGCAAAATGCCCCCACCCAAAGTGCTCCTTCTCCCAAAAAAATAAAATAAAATAAAAAAATCTGCCCAGTTACATCCCATTGGCAGTGGTATTCTCGGACACCCCGTCGCCCACAGCTGACGAATCGTGGAGGCCAGAGTAATCCTTGAGTTCAGAGTTTGTCAGAAGCAGGGGCTGCTCCCCTTTCTTGTGTGGCAGGAGGGGCTTCCTGGTGTAGTGTTCGCCGTCTGGGATGTTCTCAGGCAGGTTTTGGTTCTTGCTCTCCGGCAAGAGAAGAATACAGATGATGCAAATGAGCGTACAGCAGGCAAAGATCACATGGTGCAGAAAGTAGCCTTTCTGGTTATGAAGCTCCATTATAGGTGCAGTCAGCATACCAAAGCCTGCACTGGCCAGGACAAGTCCGAGTCCACCTCCCCTACAAAGACAAACAGTCTCAACACATACAGAATAAAGCAGCTATGTATTTGAAAAAAAACAAACAAACAAAAAACACTTCAGCGAAAGATTGAAAACTTTCCTTTTGGTTTATTTTCTGGAATCAAAGTTACTTCACAAAGAGCGGAGCAGTATGTAAAATGAGGACATTACCCAAGCACTGGCTGCAGAGGTCAGCAAAGCTTACATCCTCATTCTCAAAACATGACCACTGTGCCTATACCAGCCACCTGATCCATTCCTAACTGAACTGAAGTGCAGATGGCTCAGGCATGGGCTGCACTGGGCGGGGGGGGGGGGGGGGGGGAGGCGGCACGCGGGATCCATCTAAGTTACGCAACTTCAGCTATGTGAATAACATAGCTGAAGTCGACGTACTTAGACATACTCACCACGGTGTCTTCACTGTGGTGAGTCGACTGCTGCCGCTCCCCCGTTGACTCTGCCTGCGCCTCTTGTGGCAGTGGAGTACAGGAGTCAATGGGAGAGCCTCGGGGGTCGATTTATCACATCTAGACTAGACGTGATAAATCAACCCCCATTGGATTGATTGCTGCCCGCCGATCCGGCGGGTAGTATAGACATACCCTTAGTGTGTCCACGTTCACGTTTGAACTGTTGCTCCTTTGGCCCAGGCTCACCCCAGAGCTGTTATAAACTTTCTCACTTGCAATGCTCTCCAGGTACCTGAGCCGCAATTCCCAGCACAGCTTCCAGCAATGATGGATTCCAGCAGATTCTGAAAGGTCTCCTGTGCACTGTGGGACAGGGGTAGGGGGACTACTTGAACGGCTTCAGTCTGAACCGATTCAGTGCTGCCCACACTGTCACTAAACTGATGCAGGCTGAAATGGTTCAGCCTAAACTAACGCTTGGCCCTACTGAAAGCAAGTCTAATCCACGCCGTATTTCACACACATGTCAAGTACCTGGAGCATTGTTGTGCGTGGTCACAATGGGCATGTCTGTGCTGTGGAAATTTTCTAACTGGTTTTAACCCTATTAGAGCCATCGTGTAGACCAGATTAGATGATTTAAGGCAGTCTGCCCTGCTTTTACAGAACCAGAGTCCAATGTGATCTTGACAGCGTTTCATTAAAAGTGGGTCAGGCCAGTCTATACTTAGTCCACACTATGGCTCTAAATTATTTTAAAAACAGGCCTGATTACACACAGTTATGGTACTGGTTTTGCTAGGGGGGTGACTGTTTACTGAAATAGTTCTACAGGTACAGCTCCTAGCAGGGATGCAGTTATACGGCTATAAATTGCTTTACTCTAGGATTGTTTATTCCCAATCCCACACGGGAAGAGTCTATTCCTGGTTTTGCCACTGGCCTGCTGGGTGATTTTGGGAACTTCACTTAACTTCTCCGTGTCTCAGTCTCCTCATCTGTACAATGGGGATAATGGTATCTCACCAAATCAATTCCCTGCCATTGCAGGAGCCTCAGGCATTGGCGCACCTCAGTCCCTCTATTCTCTGCCTATGGCACACAATAGTATCTGGAGGGATGGAATAATTCAGTCTAATGCAGGTTATTCAGCTCATTGTAGTGACAACTGGGCGAGGTTAACGGCTTGTGATGTGCAAGTCAATCAAGATGATTTGATGGTCCCTTCGGGCCATAAGTCTATGACTCTATAGTGACCTCCTTTGTAAAGCAGTTTGAAATCTACTATAAAAAAATACCTTTATACCAGCATACCTTTGTCCACAAGAAGGGGGTGGGGTGGTGAGGCTGTACCCATTATAATTCAAGTCGTACAACTTGTGTGTGTAAAAAACTCTAGAAATTTCCCCCACGTAGACATGTCCAATCATGCTACAGAAACCACACTTCCCTTAGCATGATAAATATCTCTAGTTTAGACAAGACCAAAGAAAGCCCAGTAACAAATAACAGGTGCATTATTCAGTGTAGGGGAGGGCTTTTGCTGCCTCTGCAGTATTTTATATGGGCCACTGATGGAGACACGATATTAGATTTGATCTGCTATAAGAAATACTAGGTTCTGAAATCCCTCTTCTATAAAACGCTGTGCTGTTGGAGGCAAATACTTGGACAGTCAGAAAATATAGATTTTTTTTTTTTTTTTTTAAAGAGCACTGTCTAGTGGTCAGAACAGGGGACAGGAAATCAAGAGTTGTTCGTGACTGTGAGATTTTGGGCGAGTCACGTAGGGAAGCTGAGGCAGAGCAAAGTTATCTGAAACATGGAGATAATACCTACCAAGGGTGTTGTGAATGTTAATTAGCATTTCTGAAATGTTTTGAGATTACAAAGAGGTACTTTTATTAAGCCAAACCATTGTTATAAATAATTCATTAAAGTATAACGAACACTGGCATATACTTAGGCCTGGTATACACTACACTGTTAGATTGATGTAAGGCAGCTTCTGTCAACTTAATTATGTCAGTGTCTACACTACAGCTTTATCCTGCTGATATAAGGACTTGTCTACATTACCCGCTGGATCGATGGGCAGTGATCGATCCAGTCTAGTCTAGACGCGATAAATCGACCACCCAGCGCTCTCCCATCGACTCTGGTACTCCACCAGGGCGAGAGGCGCAGGCGGAGTCGACGGGAGAGTAGCAGCCGTCAACTTACCGCAGTGAAGACACCACAGTAAGTAGATCTAAGTACATCAACTTCAGCTATGTTATTCACGTAGCTGAAGTTGCGTAACTTAGATCAATCCCTCCCCCCCCCCGCCAGTGTAGACCATGCCTAAGTGCCCTACTACACTGACATAACTCCACCTCCATGAGAGGCATAGCGCTTATGTCGATGTAGTTAGGGAGAGACAGTGTCTGTAAACACTGCATTACTTACTTTGTCTGTTAGCTCTCTTGTCAATTTCACAGCTCCAGCTAGAGCCCAGCTCTTCAGCCTGGGAGCTGGGGCGAGAAGCCCTGGGCAGATGGACCACACTCCCGGCAGGGAACAGGGGGGTGGGGAGCAGTCTGCTGGGATCCCAGGAGCCTGTGGGGCAGCCATGCTTCCAGCAAGGAGTTACCAGCAGAGCAGAGAGACCAGGCTCTCAGCTCCCCACACTGCCCCTCTTAGGTCGGTGGAAGTGCTCCTGGTGAGGACATGCACCACTGATCGAAAGTAGAGTAGTTTAGACATGCACCAATGGCTCTAAGTTGACCTAATATAACTCGACTTAAGTCTTTGGTGTAGAGGTGATTACACACCTTAGATTACACACAAAAAAACACCGTAAAATAAACCCTATTTAGGTTGCAAAGTCAAATACTCAGAAGTTAGGAAATATCAGAATTAAAGGTACCTGGGCAACCTTAATTCGGTCCCTTTTTGTGTAATCATTATGTTACAGTCATGAATTACATGATCACATTTTATTGTTTTCATAGGACCCCTGCCTCACTCAGTGCACAGAATGATAGTGCTCACTGAATGAGCAGCTCTTCAAAATTTTGTTTTCTCCTCACTGTTCAGTGTATGGGCCACTCCTCCCTATTCAAACCCAGCTCTGAAGACCATTTTAAAGTTCCTCATGGGCTTTTCTATAGCGCTCATCACAAGGCTATCTGAGGGCTCCACAAACATTAAATGTTGTGAAAATAAATCACAACACCCTTGTGAGGTGGGGTGGGTCATTATCCTCATTTTACTGATGGGGAATTACGGCACAGAGACACACAGGTGCCGACTTTCCAATGTGCTGGGGGGTGCTGGACCCCCGGCTCTGCCCCAGGCCCTACCCCCACTCCACCCCTTCCCTCAAAGCCCCACCACCACCACACCTCTTCCTGCCCCACCTCTTCCCACCTCCGCCTCTGCCTGCCCAGTTCCGCTCCCTCCCCACCAGAGCCTCCTGTATGCCATGAAACAGCTGATTGCAGCGGGCAGGAGGCCTGGGGAGGGAGGAGGAGGTGCTGATTGTGTAGGGCTGCCCAGCGGGTGGGAGGTACTGGGGGAGGAGGGATAGCTGATAGGGGGGCTGCCACCTATGCAGAGAGATTAAGATAAAAAGTATACACTAATTTTGATTGCCCGATCTGAGACACTTAGGACCTGATCTTTCAGAATAATTATCCGTACACAGCACTTCATATCTTCAAAGCACATCTCCCACTGACTTCAAGTGCAGCTGTGAATTCTCAGCATGTCTGCAAATCAGAACAAACCCCTTAGGCCCATTTGAAAATTCCAGCCCTACAGTCTGGGTAGAATGGCTGTTCCAGATGCAGATGGATTCCCTCAGGCACTTTTCTCTGGCCTTGGCTACACTTGGGACTTGGCAGCGCTGCGAAGCGCGAGTGTAGTTGTGCCGCCAGGGCTGCGAGAGAGCTCTCGCAGCGCTGTATGTACACGAGCGAGCGTGCAGCGCTGCAGGCTCTGATTACACTGGCGCTTTACAGCACTGTACTCACTGCGCTCAGGTGGGTGTTTTTTCATACCCCTGAGCGCAGCAAGTTGCAGCACTGTACACCGCCAGTGTAGCCAAGGCCTCTAACAGCAGCTTTGACCCTCAGCAGTTGTTCCCAGGACTGGTTTCACCTTACAATGGGTGCTCAATGCAACAACAACAACTTTAGGTTCTCCCTCAGGCTACTGGATAGGGCTCATTTGTCCCCTGCCTTGAGACCCAGGAGCAGGTTTCCCAGTACCTCCCATTTTCTTTTGCACTTTTCTCTGCTGTGCTCCCTCACCCTCATTCTTAGCACAGAACTCAGTCACCTGTCAGCCACAGCTTCCGTGTCTGTGGGACTCCACTACTGCAGCAGCATGATGATCTCAGGACCCATAACGCTCTCTGTGGTACCCTTTCAAGGCCTGAAACCTGCATACTGCCCCATTACATTTAAATTCTGCTTCCTTGGTGCACAGACAGTACTTTCCTGTGAGTCAACATGTTCCAGTCGTCCCGGTGCTCAATTTCCTCCCTTTTCCACACAACTAAAACTTCAAATTCGGTGGTAATCTGCACTGCTACACTTTT